TAATCGCATAATTTTTGTAGAGACCATATGTTTGTCTGAGGTAATCGCGTAATTTTTGTACAGATTATGAGTACCTTTGTGGTAATCGTATAATTTTTAGAGAGACCATACGTTTGTTTGTGATGGTCGCATATTTTCTGTAGAGACTGTATGTGTGTTTGTGGTAATCACGTCATTTTTGTAGAGACTGATTATGTTTGTTTGTGGTAATGGGACAAGTTTTGTAGAGACCATATGGTTGATTGTGGTAATCGCGCTTGAATCCAACGGGACAGATTTTAAATACAACTGTACCAAAATTGTCAAAAGTTCACCGCTAAGTTTCCGTATAATAAACTTTCTTCACCAACATCGTTGTTTAATTCTTGGACCTACGAAAAGGCTACCAGCTAGCCTAGCAATTTACCAACCTCAACACCTTCACCTTCTACATCATTTTTAATAAATGTCTGGGCAAACGAGGTCAGACAAGAATGTTAGTTAAAAATTATGTACTAATAATTGATAACCATTTTTTAATTATCGTTTGATTGTACATGAGTACATGATTGTTTAATTATTTTATATTACTTAATGGATAAATACATTGATTAAGTTAAACAGTGGTTATGCTCAAGATCACATCGACAACGTTAAATTTATTTTCGGTAGAAAACAAAGCACGAATATTTGCTCTGACAGTTAAAATCATTACACGACGAATAAGCAGTTCCGTTACCAACGTCTATTACTCAGTTCTTAAATAACCAACATCAAGTTGTTTAAGTTCACTTTTCCATATAATTAACGTTATTATTTAAGAGGTGTTTTATTCCATCATCATCATGTTTTAATTTTATAAACGTGCATTTTAATTTTTTAACCAACTTGAAAAAAAGGAAGAGGTTCTCAATTCGACTGTATGTATGTTACGCGATAATTACGCCATTTGTGAACCGATTTTGATGATTCTTTTTTGTTGGAAAGAGGGTACCTACGCCGTGGTCCCATTTAATTTTGAAAAAAATCATCCACCTCTAAGGGGTTCGCGCGTGAAGGTTTATTTTTATAAATAGCGCCTAAATTTTATTATAAAGAGCAATTATTTTAATGGTTGATTTTGCTATTCTCCAATTCAAGGCGTTTTTCTCTCAATATACTTAGACTAGTGAGAACCGATTTTTTATTATCTCCTGTGTCAAGTTCCGTATAGTGGCGAACTAGGGGATGAATCCGGGTTTGCGCACTTTCCGGTAACCGATTTCTATACAACTTGGCAAATAGATGTAATTCCACTTACTTTTGAGGTCGGTTGTTTTAGTACTCTGTACTGAGATTATATAGAATATTTAACTAAATCTGTTTTATTTCAATGTTGTGCACAATTGTCATCTGTTCCAAGCTAAAGAGTGTTGTAGTATTAAATTGATATTAAGTGTTGTACACGCGCCAGCACATCAAGCTACACATTGACATATCTTGTTCCGTTGCAATGGAGGCGATTTTCGAACAAAATTGTGTAGTCTGGTGTGCCGTAACGTTGTCCGTACATGCTTTGCAAAATGTAACTGTGTCCAAATAAATATCAGCCGGAAGACGTCCACTGCTAAACATAGGCCTCACCCAAAGGTTTCCAGACTATTCATCCATCGGTTACCCGCCGCCCTTACCTGGTCATCCGTTCATCTAGTAGGGGGCCGTCCCACTGAACGCCTTCCGATTTGTGGTCTTCATTCGAGAACCTTTTTACCCCCAGGGCCGTCAGTTCTTTGAGCTATGTGCCCTGCCCACTGCCATTTCAACCTGCTAATCCTTTGGGCTATGTCGGTGACTTTCGGAGAAATAGCTCGCTCCATAGCTCGTTGCGCTTTTTTATGAGACCCATAGTAAGTGACCACGTCTCAGAGCCGTAGGTCATTGCTGGCAACACGCACTGCTCGAAGTTTTTGTCTTCAAGGTCTGCGGTATTGCGGACGAGACGACGTCCCGGAGCTTCTCGAAAGCTACCTTATTCACAAGCATACAATTCGTAACTCTTGTTTTCAATTAATTGGTATAGTTTTTCATTATTTCCTGTACACTAATTGGCTGGCGTCTTGACCAATGAAATCGCCGAACACCAGCCAATAAGGCGCTAGTTAATATGGGTAGGAGCAATGAAGAGAAAAGGAGATGTAAGGGGATCTTTAGAGGGTAAGTCAGAGCAGTTGATCAGTTACTCGTTGAGTGACATCGAGTATATAACCAGAAATAGAGACGAAATAATGGTCATCCATCCCTGGAAACTCATCAGACAAATGGGACCTAATATCATTTTTAAATATCAACTCTCGTTTGCGCTGAATGTAATAATATTTTATATTTAAACTGCAATATTAATATAACTTACATATTAGTATAAATTAAACTGCTAGCTAATATTATCATCCATACGACGCCCACTGCTGGGCATAGGCCTCCCTCAACGATCTCCACGACGATCGGTCCTGCGCTGCCCGCATCCATTGGCTTCCCGCGACCTTTACCAAATCGTCGGTCCACCGGGTGGGGGTCTACCATGGGTCTACCCACTGAGCGTCGTCCGGTGCGCGGTCGCCATTGAAGAATCTTTCCGCCCTAACGGCCATCGGTTCTCCTAGCTATGTGCCCCGCTCACTGCCACTTCAGCTGAGCAATTCTTCGAGCTATGTCAGTTACCTTAGTTCTCCTACGGATTTCCTCATTTCTGATTCTATCACGTAGGGAAGAAATACCTAACTTTTATATAATAAAATAATATTTTATCTGCTATTCGGAAAGCAAATTGACTTGACTTGTTCAACCTATCACTTAGTATTTTTTTCTGTAGTTTTTCTGGACTACATAAAAAGAAATTGTTTCTTTTGATACGGTTCTGGCAGAATACCAGACTCGTGGGAAACTGCGGCGTTTAAGTTGAGCCAGCGCCTTTTCACTACCATGACCTTAGAATAATAACGCATAGAATGATAGTTTCATGTCAAACGAACTGTCACAAGTGAGGCAAAAATCAAATTCATGTAGGCTAATTTTAGTAGTAGGTTAATTTTCGGACTTAGTGAATATTTATATAAAAATACAAATTGAAACGCATTACTTCCTTGTGGAACGTGATGTTAGTATCTATTTTATGTTTGTCTGACGCATTTTTACACTCATTTACCGCGCATTTCGTCATTTTTAGCTAACATTCTGGAGCTGTTCGCGGTGCAAGTTGACCTTGAGCACTAAAGGCCCGCCCGCTCGTGTAGGCCCTTTTGGCGCGCTTCAATTTGCCTCACCTAGCGTGTGTGGACTAGGTTTCTATGCGTTATTATTCTAAGGCCATGACGTGTTTAATGTAATAATTATTATTATGTTACTTTTACTGGATCCTATTTAAATAAGCTGTCGTGGAAATGATAAAGTTTTTGTCTATCTAAACTACACTTAAACTTTTTTAAGATAAACTCAAAAAAGTTTTATTAAAATTTAATGTATCTCTTTTTTTTAATTCGTACTCTGACATACATCAAAATATTCCAAACTGTCAATTGAAGGTTAACAATTTTGCAAATAATTAAATTAAAATATTTTGTACAAGAAATATTTTTACGTCAACTTTATTT